GGAAAACACAGATAAGTCCATTTTTAAGACTTGATCATATAATAGTGAATAGATAGAGAAGTTTACTATTTTTTGAAAGTGTAAAAAGCTCACTTGTAAAACTCTCTGAACTTGGAAACTTTTGGGGAGGGCATATAATTCCTGGCTTTTGGTACATACACATTTTCTTCTTCACAACTCTATTTATAGCTATTTGTGTTGCCTTAGAAAATCATTTATTTCAGATATTTTATAGAACAAAAATAATAAAAGGTATTATAAAACAGAGGAGATGAATACTTATCACCAAAGAGTTCCCCCTCTCACCTCTCTTTTCTTGGTCTCCTCTCTTAGCCTGAAGTCGCTGTCTATAGTCTTCTGGGCTCTTTCTGGGTATAGCCAGAATGGTCATTGGTTAAGGCTTTTCCCTGATGAGGCTACTTTCTACTTCCTAAGAGTGCAGCCCTGACCTCTCTCAGGGGACCCTGCAGGGCTTGTGGCTTTTCCCTTTAGTAGGTGACGTATAGTCTCAGAATTCTGCATGTGGATTATCTAACCTTTAACTCTGCCATCTAATTCTTTCTCAAAACTTTGATTCACTCATTCACTTCAAACAAGGATTTACTGAACCTTCACCGTATGCCAGACACTATGTTCGATGTTGGAAATATAGCCCTGAACAAAACAGACATCAGCCCCTCCCCTCGTAGAGCTGATGCTACAGAGAGGGAGACAGAAAGTAACCACATAATGGAGATGCCAGTGCTTCATACTGAGGAGAAAAGTAAGGCAGGAAAGAGGATAGGGAGTTTTACGGGTGGTGTGGGAGGATTTACATGTTTTGGTCATGTAGCCAGGGAAAGTCATGCTGATCAAAGGACATTGAGTAAGAACCTGAAGGAGGTGAGGGAGTGTGCCATGTGGGCATCTGGTGAACAGCATTCCAGGCAGAAAGGCTGCATGTGCAGAGGCCCTGGGTCAGTAGCATGCCCGTGTGTTCAAGGCTCACTGAAGACATCTGCCAGATCAGTGGACAGTAGTAGGAGTGGCCGTAGGAAGCCATCAGATCCAAAAGGAGATAGTGCTGGTGGTGGGGTGGTGTTGCTTTAAGCCGTTGAAGGGCTTTGACTTTTACTCTGTGTGAAATGGGGGCATTGAAGGCTTCTGAGTAGAGACCACAAGGGGTCCAGGGCAGAAAGCGGTTAGGAAGCTGATATGGTTTGGCTGTGTCCCCACCCAAATCTCATCTTGAATTGTAGTTCCCATAATACCTACATGTTGTAGGAGGGACCCTGTGGAAGGTAATTGAATCATGGGGGCAGTTACCCCTATGCTGCTGTTCCTGTGATAGTGAGTGAGTTCTCACAAGATCTGATGGTTTCATAAGGGGCTTTTCCCTTTTTGCTGGATACTTCTCCTTCCTGCCACCATGTGAAGTAGGATGTGTTTTCTTCCCCTTCTGCCATGACTGTAAGTTTCCTGAGGCTTCTCCAGCCCTGTGGAACTGTGAGTCAATTAAACCTCTTTCCTTTATAAATTACCCAGTCTTGGGTATGTCTTTATTAGCAGAGTAAGAAAATACAGAAGCTATTGTGAATGATTCCTGAAAGACCAACCATTTCCCCAGATAGTCTGGCTTGATCTGAGGATAAAATGTAGATGGACTTTCTTAACCTATGGAGAACTTCACTGACTCATTTGCATTAATGAAACTCAGTGCCATAAAAATGCCCAGTATGAGACAGTCAAATAAGTAAAGGCCACCCTTGTTCAGCCCACAGGGGTCTTGTTCCTGCATCACCCTGGATCCCTTTTGCAAGGAGACATTTCCCTCTGGTCTCCATGTTGGGAAAAATAAATGATTCTCCTGCAAGCCAGTTTGTTTTCTCTCTTATGTATACACTATTAATCTTATCCTGTCTCCCTGCTTGCTTTTGTTAAGAAGGTGCTCAGAGCTAGATCTGCAGTTTGTCTCTAGCAAGAGTATAGGACCCTGTGGGCTCTGCATTCATTTCTTTACTCCCTTTTACTTTCATGCACCTTAATTAAAAGAAAAGCTTTTATTCTACTATATTTGCATGACTCACTCGAATGTGGCAAGCTGCCTATCACCAACGGATATACGATACAAACACCATCGTTTAAAGATAAAAAGAAGAAATCCAGTTTGAGGTTTAGGTTGTTTGTATTCTATTTTTAGTTTCATAAATAAAAGTATATCTATGCACACACAGAATTTTCAGGATTAAACCCTAAACAGCTAATACATTGCTAGCATGTATTTCTACAGGAGTGCCTCTTACCTATGGTTTTGCTTCCTGAGGTTTCAGTTACCCCCAGACAACTTTAGTCTGAAAATATTAAATAGAAAATTCCAGAAATAAACAATTCATAAGTTTTAAGTTGCATGCTGTCCCGCTTGGCCCCATCTGGGACAAGAATCCTCCCTTTGTCCAATGCATCCGTGCCATCTGCACCGCCTGGCCATTAGTCTCTCAGTGTCCTTCAGTGGGCAGAACCATATCTTGTTGTAACCCATGTTACCTGTGTTTAAGTAACCCTTATTTTACTTAATAATGGCCCCAAAACACAAGTATAGTGATGCAGGTACATATTGTCATAATTGTTCTGTTTTATTATTGTCATTATTAATCCCTTCCTGTGCCTAATTTATAAGTTAAACTTTACCATAGGTGTGTGTATACGATACATATAGGATTTGGCACTATCTGAGGTTTCAGGCATCCACTGGGAGGTCTTGGAATGTATCCCTTGATGAACATGGAAGAGCGTTGTTATCTTTGATAGTTTCAGTGCTAACTGCCAGTCGCCTTCTACTCCATGTTTCTAAATGTGTCATTTTAGCTCAGCAATATGCAACAGTGATACTGGTATGAGGTAACAGTGTAGGATGGGCTGGAAGGTTAGGACCAGCAGTAGAGTCTGTTATAAATTTAATTTCCAGCCCTTGCCCCCTCCCATTCTAATTTAGCAAGTCTTGTGAATCTCTTTGGAAACTTTATGCACACACTGAGCAAACAATGTATTTTTTGAGACCTTAGAATTTTAAATGTTTTTTTTTGTTACTTTTATTCTTGAACAACCACTTGACAGGGTATAAAAATCTTGTGTTGGATTCTGTTTGTCTAAAAATTCTGAGAATTACCCAATTGCCATTTAACACTTATTGTTAAATATCATGATCTTAGTTACATTAACGGTAAATAACCCCATCAACACTGATGTTTTATTTTTATTGCTTGATTTTAATACTTGAAATGTGAAAATGAAAAGCCAGATGCTTCTCGGCATTGGTCTCTAAAAGTTGATCCTTCATTTCACCTTTTAGTCTCCATTTTTTTGTATCTCAAAAGTTCTTTTCTGTTATGTCCTGGCCTTTGCTTATGATCGATGTGCTGTTTGGACTTCCCTTTGAAACACATTTTATCCATGGTTGGATCTCTGTGATCTCCACTGTTTCTATTTTCTGAAGTTTCGTCTTTTTTTCTTCTCCCTTTCCCTTATTTTCTCTGCTTTCTGAGATGACTTCTTAGTTTTGTACTCCTCGCCCTGATCGGTTTTCAGCAGTGCAAAGTCAGCCTTTCATCAGCTCAGTTACGACTGTGCTTTTGGCCGTGAGCCTTTTCATTTCATCAACATCCCGTCTCATCTCTGCAATTATTTCATAAAAGTTATATAAGTATTATTTGGCATAGAAGGAGAATGTTTTCAAAAAAAAGTCTTCTGTTCATGATGGTTAATCCTTTTCAGATGAGAAATTATTTTTTTAAGCCAATCCTTTTCTCTCTCTTTCCTTGTACAGTCAGCTTTTCCCCCACCCCATGAGCTTTAAGTTAATTTTCCCTTATTACCTAAACAGCTCCACGGTGGGCGCCGTTAGCGTACTCCTTGTTCAAGTAGAAGGTAGTAAGGATTCCTTCCCACTGCTGTGCCCTAGGCTGCCTTTTACTGGCTCACAGGTGTGGCAGAACAAAGCCCCACCCACGGGTGTGGAGTTGTCTGTCAGCTGCGTGCACTGGAAGGCTTTGCACTGCCTTTGGCACGTGGTGGTGCTTCATAAAATGCTTCTAGAAAGTCTGCAAAAGAAAATCCCCTTGCGAGTGGGTGTGACATTCAATGTGTCTCAAAGCGGTGACAAACCAACGTGTCGTAAGTAATTCCTTTGCATGATAGCCAGATTGTTATAGCCCAGGACTGACTCTGAGTGTTTTGACTCATGAATTTCACCTGAGCAGAAATATAATTCACTCTTAGCTATTAAAACATAATAATTTGCATTTTTAAAATGTCTTTGATGTGTTTTCCTTCTCCATCTCTCTTCTGCCACCTAAACGCTGATGCTTCTTTTCCATTCAAGAGAGGTCGTTGATTTAGAAAGGACAAACCATTTATCTTAACACTTAATAAACGGGGAACTATATAAATTTTGAATCCAGAAGTTGTGGGATGTGATATCTTACCAATCTTTTTTTTTATTGGGAGGAAAATATAGAAGTTTGTAGAAAACAGATAACACTGTGGGCTGTACTCTTCATTTTATCAGGGCTGAAGATAAAGATAAAAAATAAAATCCATCAAAGACATAAGGTTATCCAATTTATTCTCAATCTGCTCTTAGCGCAAGGGTTACTCTGAGCTATAACAATTCCTAGGATTTTTCAGAGACAAAATCCTGCCAGACAACTAGGTAACTTAGAAACAGTGCTTTCAATCAGAGATCACCAAATGAAAAGTCTCATTAACCTGGCTTCTCTCTATGAGCCCTTCCTCTAAAGAGGTTCCGAACAGGCCACCTTTATAAAGAGAAAGTCCATTTACCAGTCGAGATTAAACCAGTCAAGAATCAGAATGAAGGAATATGTCCGAGGTACCAGCTGGTTTATCTTCTGCAAGAACTTCCCATGCCTTCGACCCTTGGGAACTGTAAATCAAATGGCAGACTGTGAACATTAAAACCACGCATTGAAAATAATGCATCTCTATTTCATTCTTTTTTCCAGGTTTGAGATTTTTAAGAGCTCTGAGACTGATACAGTTTTCAGAAATTTTGCAGTTTCTGAATATTCTTAAAACAAGGTAAGATGTTCTTTGTCATATTTTTTCCTTCCAGTCCCCTATGCCAAGTTGCAAATATCAGGTGTGCTTGCTTTCATCACAATGACGTTATTAATAGTTATGTTATTCACAGAAAGAGTGATCTAACACGGAGAGGGAGAGAAAACCCAGAGTAGGGTTTGGGTTGCTCTCTTCTGCAGGGCCAGGGAATTATGTGGTGAAAAGAGAGCAACAGCTGTGCATGCAGGGAAGTGGGGACGATTGTAGGGACATAGCTGATATCTGGGTGCCCAGTGGGGTTGCCCAGATAAGAGTCATGGTGTCACGGGGAGAGACGCGCAGTGAATGAGGGATAGATTTACTCATTGATTGGGAAGTCCTTGCTGCCAGATTCTAAATCGCCCCTTTATTACATCACTAAATAAGAAATTGAACCCAGTCGTAAAGGCAATGGAAGCAATGCTGTAACAGGCAATCACAAACCTCATACGGCAAACAGAAAATCATTTCATTTCAAAGCACATTTTAGATGTTCACTTTATATCCATATAGCCCTTGGGGCTTGCTCCATGAATTGCCTTTTGGGGGGAAACCTACAAACCTCCTGCCGAATGCACCATGAATACTTCTGTTAACTGCGTTATGATCTGGAAAACACAACTGGACCAGGAGGAAAAGCCCCCAGAGGATCCCTTTCCTGATGACCTGCCGGCTTGCAGAGCTGGCCTGAAACCAGGGCTGTCTTGATGAATAAACTAATAAAAGAGGTTAGACGTGCTCTAATGGAGAATAAGTACAGGCCATAAATTTCTCTTCTAGGAAATTACACTCTAAGAAGCTCACTTCTAATGTTCCATTTCCTCTTTGGTTGCCCTTCACGCATTTGATAAATGATTAAAAACAGGACACCTCCATATTTTGTGATTTGTAATTAATATATCTGCAGTTTGGAGGATTAGATTCAGCATCATTTTCCTGGTAACACAGGCTGGGACCCAGCTTCCTGAATGAACCTGACACAGCCAACAAATTCAACCTATGATTGGCTTTACTCCTTGGGTGTTAGTGGTTTTTTCCCCTGCTTGTTTATTTTGTTTTGCTTTAATTCCAAATTGGTTTCCTCTCTCTGACTGCTCATCTATGTGACTGTGAGGTCAAATTCACTTTCTATTAGCCAAGTTGAAAAGAAAAAGAGAATCCAATGGCACTGAAGTCTTTAAAAGTATGTCCTCCTGCCTTTTACTGTTCATTATCCTGAGATAAGAATGTATCAGTCCTCTATTTATTAGCATTAATGTAATATTATTCATATACAGTGAATATTATATTTCTTCATATTTTTCTGAGTGCCAATAACCTTGATTTCTGCCTTTTTATTATTACTTTTGAAATGTAAATGATCAATGAAGCTAGCGTCTCTTCAATATTTACCTAGATCAGATTCACTCCACTAGACTGTGTTTTGAAGGTGGAATGGGTGAGTACCCGGCACCAAGCATAGAGCCTTGTCCTTAAGAGACACTTATTTTTCTGGTAGGGGTGGTGTTTTGTGACACTGTCTAATGTCGGGTAGTGTCTGTCTCTCCCTGTTTCACAATCACATCATATGTTAAGGGAATTTTTATTCTCTGATGCCAGCATTTTGAAAAGTTTCCATTGCTCTGAGGAATACTGTCTACTCCCTGGACTGTTTTAGGACTTGAGAGAATGATGGACCATCTGAATGTTTTTTTCTGACCTTCCTCTAGTACACTCACTTTTCTTTGGATGCGGGAAGTGGCTGTGGCATCCCTGGTGGTTAACTCACCTGCCTACTGCACAGTAGGGTTGATTCCTCCTTTCAGTGTAGAGGGGGAAAGCTGAAGCAGCCAGCCAGGGCACGAGGGAGAGAATGGCCCTAGGGAAGAGTCACGGGGTGGAAGGCTGGCTGGGCATCTGCCATCTGGGCCCCAAGACAGCCTTTCTCCAGTGTCCCACTTCCCACTATATAAAACTCTTGTTTTTAGAGGGTGCTTTTGGCCACAAAGCCACAACCTGGGTTTTCAGAGTTCCCTTCACTTATGGTCATAACCAGAGGGTTAAGGTAATTCAGCAAGCCTGGAGTGAGCACCCATTGGTGTCAGCAGCAAGGTGGGTGCTAGGAGTCCTGCTGTCAGAGAACTTGCTGGGTAGGGGGTCAGGCCGCCTGACGGTGTGGTTAATGCTGATGTCAGTATGTCCATGGGTTGAGAGGGGAGTAACTAAGCTGGGCTTGGCATGAGTTGTGGGGTAGTCAAGGATCTTTTCAAGGAGAAGGTTACCTTTAGGTACGCCTTGTAGAAACCTAAGTGTCATCCTCGTGGGGCTGGGCATGTGAGGGGTAGGGTGGGCGTTGACTTCTAATCAAGGAAGCTGCTAACAGCACACTGGTCTGAGAGCTTGGCGCTTGGGAAAACTCTGGGTAATTCTGCACTCCTGGACATTAAGAGTTCTGTGATGGAAAGAGGAGGATGAGGTTATGAGGGTAGGAAAGGCCAGGTTGCCAGGCACAGAAGCACATATCATGTAATTATAAGAAGTCTGAAAGCTCTAGGACAACTCTCTGAGGCCATTCTCTCTCCAGGAGCTGGCCCGGCTAATCTTGGCTCCTTCCTTTTGGGCATCCCCAAGTGTGGATCCCAAAGTTCTGTCCCAGAGAAAGTGCAGCCTTGGCTTTTGTAGGGTTTTGGACTTTCAGCAATTCTCCTATGACTCTTCCATACTCTGCTGCTTTCATAGCGGTCCTTCCAGGAGGGTGGGTTGGGGAACCCATGTAATCATCTTTAGGGAGATTTTGTCTGGCTCTTTGGTGGTGAATTTCTGCCAATCTGTGGCATTAAGTAGGGATGGAGGCTTTGCAATGTGATTTGAAATAATGACTTGGAGTTGCTGTTTCATTTCCAGTACTTTGGCTGCCTCACTGGGCCAACAGCTGAAAGAAACAAGGCAGAGAAGCATAAGGTGGGCAGAAAGCTTGATAAAGAATTAAGAAGGCAGCAGAAGGAAAATTAAAGTGCACGGGATGAAATGGGCAGATCAAGCATCAGGGCCCTTTCCCAAGCTGCAAGCCCACAGCGGGCCTAGAATACTCCATAGCCTGAAACGGGCCAATTAAAGGGGAGACAAGGAGACTCCCTCTCACTATCTGAGGTTTTGGCAGTTCCTCAGTTATTCTGCAAACTGGAGATCTAACATACAGGTGCTAGAACAGTTATTCAACTGTCAGAGGAAAGTCAGCAGCTGTGTTTAAAGGCTATAATTCCACATCTCATTGACTGTGGTAAATATTGATGACTAAAACATGGATCACTCAGCAATTTTTTTCAAAATGGGAATTTCCTTATTGTTTTATGTAATTTTTCTTTCTTCCTTTTTTTTTTTTTTTTTTTTTTTTGAGATAGACTTTCACTCTGTTGCCCAGGCTGGGCACGATCTCAGTTCACTGCAACCTCCGTCTCCCGGGTTCAAGCCATTCTCCTGCCTCAGCCTCCCAAGTAGCTGGGATTACAGGTGCCCGCCACCATGCTTGGCTACTTTTTGTATTTTTAGTAGAGACGGGGTTTCACCATGTTGACCAGGCTGGTCTTCAACTCCTGACCTCAGGTGATCCACCTGCCTAGGCCTCCCAAAGTGCTGGGATTACAGGTGTGAGCCACCGTGCCCAGCCTGTTTCCTCTAATTTTTAAAATATGTTCATTGTAAACATTGCAATAGCACACAAAATCATAAAGGATAAAGTAAGATTGCCTCCACATCACACTACTTTGAGATAACTATTATATCTACGACGTCACCTTTGGTTTCCCACATAGCATTCCATGATATGCATGAGTCATCATATACCTAACCAATATGTTTTTGGGAGGCGTTTTTGAAATTAAAACATTACTACTCACATGACCTTAGAAATGGCTCCAAGGTAAAGTTTGTAAAGAAGAGTATTCTATATGGAAAGTGCAAGAGATGTGCAGGGAGAGGCCAAATCATGCAGCTTCTTAGATTCATAGACTTTACATGAACAAAGGAGAGCTGTTGAAGGATTTTAATCAAGAGAGGAAATGCGGTTAGATTAACATTTTAGAAAGATCCACTATTCCAACAGTTGTATAGGGAATGGGGTTGAAGCGTCAAAGACCTCATAGACCATAAGACCAATTAACAGGCGGTAGTCCAGGGAAAAGCTGTTAGGGCATGGCTTTAGGCAGTGAAAATTGGGGCAGAGAGAGGAGAAGGGATCTAGAGATAATTAAGAGATTGGATTGGTAGAATTTCACTTTGCTCCACTCATGTTATAGTTCAGACCATTTATGTTAGTGTGATGCAGTCCAGTTAACTTTTCAGGGGGTGGGTATTTTATATCTGTCCAGCAAATACAGCAGTAAAACAAAGCAAGGGCAGCAGCACCTAGCAGTACCAGAAACAAAGAGAAAAATTAGAGACAAGCAGAATAGGGACAAATGTGCACTTTGTACAAAATGCATGACATTTTCTGTGTTAACTGAAACATGTCCTGTTAAACATATAGAGAACAAAGAAGGCCCCAGAAACTCTGGGTTTATAGCTGTAATCTTTGGAGCCAGACCTTCTCTTGCAGCATCCACTGTTTCTTGGAAGAGGTCTCTAATCTACAAGAATCGTGTGCCTCTCCTATCATGTTTCACTGTGTCCATCGATGTGAATTAGAACTCATGGGATGGGGACTCAGGAATTGTATTGGAAAAATGAGAATGATTTACTTTAGATGGGTGAGGTTTTCATGATAAAATCATAATCTGCCTCAAAGCTTAGGAAGCAGGCTAGAATCTGAATGATTCAAATCATTCTAACCATTGCTAGCTTCATGTTTGGCCCAGATCCCTAGACTTGACCAGGAAGGCTATGACTATCTCCATGCAGAGATACACAACCTTTGCCATGCAGAGCACACAGCCCTGCTCCTGGCATGCCCCACTCTTTCTTCCCAAAGAGCCTTACTTAACCTGGCAAGGTTCACGTTTCAGAGTATGGCGAATGCCCACCAGGGGTTAACCTTGCATCTTTTGCTCGTAGCTTTCAGATGCATGGTGATAGTGTTTCATTTAGAAAGCAAATTCCTAAACCTAGGGATCTGTGATAATGCTGATGTCATAAAAATAATCAGATTTCAGAGCTAAACACAGACTGTTTTAGCAACAATGGTTAAATGTTCTGCATATGGCAAGAGCTCCCTAACGCACTACCAATATCACTGTAACCACCATTTAGAGTTTAATAATCACCATATTTAGGTCATTTTCCCAAAGCACCAAGAGGCTCGGACTCCCCATAGGTTTAATATCTCAAGAGGACCCCACATGGTTGTTGGTGGGACACTGCTGTGTTCAGGTCCCAAGAATCCAAGAGTATGTAAGTGAAGCCACTTGGTATTTAATGATCCCCTGAGAAAATGGACAACATGCACCTCCCTAAGAGCCCTCCGTTTGCCACTGGCTATCTGTTCTTCATCTACTTCTTACCCTCCAATGCTGGAGCACACCTTAGAGGACTTACAAGGTAGAGGTGGGAGGGAATTCTGCTCAACACAACATCTAACACATAATAAGCGCTCCATAAATATTGGCAGTTATTATAATCTGGAAACTCTACAAATGACCAAGAGAGACAGAATGGACATTTTCGTTGTTTTCCCAAGTTTTTGAACGAGAAGAAAGTGTTCCACACACCTCGAAAGATCAGTCTCACCCACAAAGTTGAAAGTATCTGTTTATCCTTTCCATGAACTGTCAGAATCAACTCTGGAAAACCTAAGACTGTGGATTCCTCTGTGCTGTTCCATAGAAGAAGAAAGAGTATTGTTATGAGCATTAAATGGCTTAGTACACATAAAGCACAGGTGATCCTAAAGCATTTAGGATGGTGGCACATGTGGTGAGCACTGGGAAAGAACTGTAAACAAGCTAGCTGATACTATTACTGTGATCTTAAATGCCTAGAATTTAAATCATTGGTTCTCCAAAAGAAAGGTAAGAGAGGGCAGTTGTAACAGAGATGAATTGACCAAAACGAATGGATTGGGCAACACTGTAGGCTACATTAAGCCACTACTGGGAAAATGCAAGAGCTAGAAAAGAGAGTTCTTTTCTGCAAGATGCAGCAAGGAACACAAGAGTCAAATAGCAACCTAAAACTTTACACAAGACATCTTAAGTCAGTAGGATCAATTACCGATGAATGGCTGGAGGTGAGAGCCCAGGAAAGTCACTTTGTCTTGTAGGTGGGTGGAACAACTTTAAGGAAGCAGTAGGGATTTAACTGGGCTTTGAAGAATGGGGAATATTTGGCTAGATGGGAAAGGCTTTCGAGTTGAGTAAATAGTGTAGACAATAGCTATAGTAAATAGGTTTAACTGGGATGGCAGTTTCAAGAGCTTATGTGAAAGGGTGGTGGTGGGAGAGACTGGGACTTCACAAGGTATTGACAATGGAAGGAGAAAGTTTGAATGTCATCTTTTAGTCAACAAGAAGCCTTTGGACAGTGAAGTGACCTGCTGACAGCAGCCTTCAGGTATACCCCAGTGGGAGTGAACAGGATGCAGTTTAGGAAGAGAGCAGAGGCAGAGACCAGTGCACTCAGTGCAGAGTCACGGGGCCTGCTATGCTTCAGGGACTCAGGGCTCCTGGAATCCAGACAGACAAGTCCCCAGCTCTCAGGGAGCTCAAAATGTCATAAGGTCCAGTTGATCCACTCAAGGAACACCAGTGGATACTAAAGCTGTTAGGTATAAGGTTGTTGGGGAGCAGGATATTCCTGCAGTCTCGGGGCCTCACTCAAGGTGGCATATTCATTACAAAGTGAAATGGGCACCTCTCAGTGGAGACATTAGCATCTCTGCCTCAGCCACATGAATGGGCCTAGTCATTGGGCTGGGATATCCTGATGTGATGCCATCCCCGCAGAGATGCTTAACAGAAATACTCAAGTAGGGAGCTATGTAGGATGATCAAGTCTAGAGGTCTAATGTACAACATGAAGACTATTGTTAATAAAAATTGTATGGTATTTGGGATTTTTGTTAAATATGTAGATTTTAGCTACTCTTGTCACACACGAAAACGTAGCTATGTGAGATGGTAGATAATATCATGTTGTAAACCTCAAACATACACAATAACATTTATTTAAAAAATAAACTGGGCTGGGCACGGTGGATCACACCTCTAATCCCAGCACTTTGGGAGGCCGAGGTGGGCAGATCACCTGAGGTCAGGAGTTCGAGATCAGCCTGGCCAACGTGGTGAAACCCTGTCTCTACTAAAAATACAAAAATTAGCTGGGTGTGGTGGCGTGTGCCTGTAATCTCAGCTACTCGGGAGGCTGAGGCAGGAGAATTGCTTGAACCTGGGAGGCGAAGGTTGCAATGAGCCGAGACCACACCATTGTACTCCAGCCTGGGTGACAGAGTGAGACTTCATCTCAAAATATAAAATAAAAATAAATAAGTAAATAAGCAGGATCCAGAATATAGGACATTATAGAAGACAGCCTAGATTCACACAAAATCTAATGTCATTACAAAGGAGTGGTGTCATTTATACATTAAAAGAGACTGAAGCTGGGATTGGCAAACTATAACCCATTCCTGCTGCCTGTTTTTGTAAATAAAGTTTTATTGGAACAACGCCGTATCTATTCCTGTACATGTTGTCCGAAAGCTGCTCTGAAGCCAGAGTGACAGAGTTAAGTATTTGTGACAACGTCTATATGGCCTGTAAAGACTAAATATTTAATCTCTGTCCTTGTTTCCTGACAGTTGGATTTAAGCCACCTAACAGCCAAATGCAGTGCATGAAACTTGGGTCTAGGGGAAAATTAAAAAAAAAAAAAAATCAATAAACATAATTTTGGGGCAACTGGAGACATTTAAATAAGGTCTGCATATTAAATAGCATTACTGAATTTTTATGTTTTAATTTTCTCAGGCGTGCAATGGTATTGTGATTATGCTGTGCAATGCTTTTCTTCTTAGGAGTTGAGTGCTAAAGTATTTAGGGCTTGTGCCATGATGTCTCTGATTTATTGGTAAATGGTTTAGCAAAAAAAAAAAAAAAAAGAGAGAGAGAAAAATACATATATACATAGCAAGAAGAAGAGAAGGAAAAAGAGCGGCGGGGGTGTGAGGAATAAGAGAAAAAGCATGTAGGGAGATAAAGCACCTGTGGTTAAAATGTTAATAATTGGTCAGTCTAAATGAAGAGTGTACAAGTGTTCATTATACTGTTCTTTCCACTTTTCTGTAGATTTGAAGAGTTTTTAAAATAAAAGTCAATTTTTACCAAAGTTAAATTCGTTCCTCTAGGCTCTGTCCTGACCTTCATCCCAGCAGCTCCTCCAGCTTCCAGAATTCCCTTATAATGGAGAAATGGTTGGAAGTTAGGTGTGGCAGCCTCTACCCCTAAGCGGGTGCTGTTACCCTGTAAGATAGCCCCTGCAGGGCCTTCCCTTGGTAACATGGGGATTTTGCTTGTTGTCTCTTGCACAGTAATTCCATCAAGCTGGTGAATCTGCTCTCCATATTTATCAGCACGTGGCTGACTGCAGCCGGGTTCATCCATTTGGTGAGTAACCTTGAAGACCCTTGTGCTCTCGCTTGCCAGCAACAAGACCCTCTCTGAGTCATTTTATTACCTAAAATGTTTCTTGCTGGAAAGATATTTCACCTCGGTTGTAGACAGGAAGATGGGAAGCAACCACACAATTGTCTGGGTTTCCAACCTTTTTACCCCAAACTAGTTCCAAATGGTGAGTAATGTTTGCACTATTAACCTGCATTTTTCCGTTCATTGCTCATTGGTATTGTGTGGGGGCTTTGGTAAATTTTACTTCTCTCTGCAAGAACTATAGTAAGCCACAAGATGGCAGTGCTTCCTAAGCAAACACCTGGAAAAGGTCTGGGGACAAGATTGGAAGTTTGACCCACACCTCCTAGTAAACAACAAATTCAGATCCCTCAATTTCTCTCTACTTCCCCCTTACGAAAAGCCACCTTTGATTATTTTGTCTGATTTGTACCTCAGAAATGTTAATTCTTTTTTATTAGTGACTCTTTTAAAGCCTTATATTGAGTCAAGCCCCTCACACCACCCGAAGGCAGACTTTCCTCCTGCTTTTAAAGAGCACAGCCATTGTGTGTTTCATGCAAACATAGACTGTTACCACTGGAAGGAGCCTCGTCTAGCTATGAGACTTTGGATAAAGTTGACCACTGGTGGCTGAGCCTCTATTTGCATAAGGGATAGAAGGACACGCTTAACTACCCACACTTGGGATTTACGTAATTATCACCCAAATGAAGACAGGCCTGGGATGACAGAGGGTGGGGCACGGGGGCTCACATAGTCACCAGATTTGGGGTCTCCTGCCCAGCCCTTAATACCGATGGGATTCTTGGCCAAAATTAACCTTAATCACCCTAATTCTTGCTGTAACCCAGTACCAAACACCCAAATCACATATGTGGAGGAGATAGTAGTCTTTAATAAGATGATGACCCCACCTTACTATTGGTATTAGTGAAGTCCCTTCTGATTCACCAGGAAACTTTTGGGAAAATGGCACATTGAGGACAAACTGATGTGTGAAAGAGGCCAGGCCCTGGAAACATTTTGCAGAGGCAGAGCTGGAGGCCTGGGGGCCGCTGTCCACAGCCCCTAAGGGTGTATCACGGGCGTATTTGAGTAAAATTGGACCTGCAGCTCCCTCTCTCCTGAAAGTATCTAAAGTACCTTTCCTGCCCATCTCCTAGCCTTGTTAGCAGATCAAATATGATGGAAGGACGGGAAAGTGGGGAAACTGCAGTCCTGGGCCAAAGCTCTCCAAATCCAGCCACACCCATTTGTTGAAGTTTTGCCACTGCAAAGTTGACCAGGACCTGTGTGGCCCACAAAATTGAAAAAGTTTGGTAGCCCTTGGTCTAACAGGCTGTGCCAGTGCAAGCTGTTCTCATGAGCTCACTTTCCAAGCCCCTGGGAAGATTCTGGCAGCCTCAAGGCTAAGACCACCATTGGCAATTTGCAAAGGAGGGAGAGCAGGGCCAGATCCCGGAGATGCTGTTTGAATCAGAACAAGCAGGGCCCATATATACTCTTTGGATAAACTGATGGAAGGAGGCAGCCCCCTGTGGAAGGGTTTAGAATTTCTGCGGGAGAGGCAGAGCCAGGCCATCTGGGCCTTAGAAACCCATTGAGGAAGGTCAGGGAAGGGGTCTCTGGCTCTCTCCTTGAAGAGTGTGCTCTAAAACCTGGCTGGAGGCAATGCCCTGAATTTTAGCTGGCTTCGGACATTTTACCAGAAGAAGAAAAAAGGCCTAGAGATATTTTCCTTCTTGCTTTCCCTCTCTGTCCCAATCAGCTAGGAAGACATTTCCTGCAGCTGCTTCTCCACTTTCTCTGTGTCCTGCTCAGGAGCTCTGCATCCTGACTCACAGAACTCAGCCCAGGAACCACACAACTCCTGTGGAGAGTGGTGTGCATTAGCAAGTGGCCTTCGGGAGTGCCGAGCTTCCGGGTTTATTGTATGTATACACTTCAATAGCATGTTTTTCTTTTTTCTCCCCTGTCCCGTTTGCTTTAGGTGGAGAATTCAGGGGACCCATGGGAAAATTTCCAAAACAACCAGGCTCTCACCTACTGGGAATGTGTCTATTTACTCATGGTCACAATGTCCACCGTTGGTTATGGGGATGTTTATGCAAAAACCACGCTTGGGCGCCTCTTCATGGTCTTCTTCATCCTCGGGGGACTGGTAAAAAAAATCTTTATTACGATTTGATTTTGATGGTTGTTAGTATTTTCCATGATACATTTCCTTAAAGCTTTGTATTGTAGACTGTGTTCTGCACTAGAAGCAAGCCTTAATGTTAGAATCAGGCTAAGTAAATCCAAACAGGATAACTTTTCTGCATAATTCTTGGTGTATTACACTTGTCCCATAGATCCAGGCACATTGCCCTTGTGAGGGACAGCCATTTAGCCAGGAGCACACCTAATTGTCTTAAGAAAGTGATGCTGTTAAGAAGGGAGAGTGTCTACCCCTTAGCAGTGTAATTCAGCATCTGGTATGCTACAACGACAATGGCTGTCACCTGCCTCTGGTAGAAGCTATGGATACTTTGTAGAGACAGTTTGCGGTTTCAAGAGCTCCCCCTTCCCCTTTATGTTCCTCCCCAAACTTCCAACAAACACTGTGGCTGGGGCCTGCCCTAAAGAGAAGGGTCCCTACATCAAAGGACAGAGAGCACCTTAGTCTCGTCCAGGCAGACATCCCCATGTGAGCAGAGTGCAGTTTTGCAAACAGCTCACTCCATTCTGCAGTGGACACATGGGAAGTTTTTGCTCCTTTCTTCTAGGAAAGTTTCGCTGTTTGGTTTTTAAAGGTCTATGCAGCTCTTTAGGTTGCACTAAACCATCCCTTATAATGTAAATCAAGGGGATTTCTGGCCACACATTGGCAGTTGCTGCATTTTGTCTTTCAAAGTAGCTCACTTTAAGTTTAGGTTTTTTGCCATTTATGAAGCGAGTGAATAAAATCCTAATCCACACACAGCTTTCATGTACGTACACTGCATGCACATTTATATATAGTGATGCATACACATCTCTCTGTTTTGTATGCATAGGGCATATACATTTTTTAAATGTATATAAATGTGCACGTGCATGTGTACATTCACGCAAGCATTTCTGCAGCATCCGTGAGGTGCCCATAGATAACAAGACCCATCCGGCCAGCCACAGGCCAGATGTTTGTTGGACAAAACATGGCAAATTTGTGTTTCTCCTTGCTATCTTCTCCTCCCAGGTGATTTCCTAAATTTCCCTTTTGTGCTTTTTAGTGTTTTTTTTTTTTTTTAATAGAAAAATTTAGTTTTTAATCTTTTGGTGTTTATTTTCTTTTGTCACTCATAAAAACGTTGATTCTCCTCTGAATTTTAATGACAAAGATATTCTCTTGCGAAACTGTGTGTGCACGCACACGTGTGCCTGTGTGTGTTTAATTTCACTAGCATGCACCCCTTTTGCCTATTTTTCTTCAACAAGAACTAGATATCACCTTATTTATTCCTGTCTCCTTTGTATTTTTCTCGACTGTGATTTTTTTTGTTCTTTAGTTGTCAAGGTTAGCTAATGTTTGTTTGTCTTGTGTATTTCCAGGAGCTTGCTCTTTTCATGCTTTTAGTTTTTTATGATCCGACGTATCAATATATACCTTCGCAGGCCTAATCCTTTTGTGTTTTCAGATCTTAGTGCCCACCCCCCCCCCCCCCCCCCGTCTAAACAGGTCCTCCCTTTTCTTTGGCCTGTCTTTTTAGTCTCTCTTCTGTCTCCTGTCTTCTCAGGCCATGTTTGCCAGCTACGTCCCTGAAATCATAGAGTTAATAGGAAACCGCAAGAAATACGGGGGCTCCTATAGTGCGGTTAGTGGAAGAAAGTAAGTATGCCAAGAGGTTTTGCTGCCTCCGCTGCGGTAGAATCCTCTCTGCATGCCATTTTTTTTTTTTGGCTCTTGTTTCTTTGTTTCATGCATGTAGGCAATGTTTGCCCGCTACGTGCCCGAAATTGCTGCTCTCATCCTGAATCGGAATAAATTCGGCGGGACTTTTAACAAACATGGAGGCAGAAAGTAAGTCAGTTGCATCAGAAAAGATGTGGTTGAGTGACTTTCAGGAGTCCCTGTGGAGGTGCCGTCTGAATTCTGCCCCTCCCCCACCCCACCGGGTGCTTCTATGAGGGAAGGCCCAGCTTCTGCATGGGGTGTGATGTCAGAGGTGACCTGAGGACGTTGCCACACTTGGACCAACTCCCATTCACAAATTCCAAGAGATGTAATGAATTTGTCCTGAAAGGCGTCCATTTATAACTGGGCCCATATTTTCTCTTCTGACCCCTAACAAGTAGACAAAACTCATTCATTCTTCACATCATCTGGCTATGTGATAAAATTCTGGTCCCTCAAACTAGTATCATGCCCTCCTATGGTGGTTTGTATGTAGCAAGAACGCAGGATAAGACTCTGGCAGGCAACTCCTTGGGTGGCAGATCCAGGTCATCTGGCCTACTGCAAAGGCACTGTGGCCACTGGGAACCCAGTTGTCCTCTTCATCCAGGAGGCACCAGTCTTATCCTTGGAGGGACTCATTACTCAGCTGAAATTCCTTCTGGGCAAGAAATAGTATATTTCTGGTAGTTTAGGGTACTACATGCTATTCCTGATGAATCTTTTGTTTGGCTTCCCAAACATGAGTGTTTTCTTCTCAGGAACTATTTCAGCGTGTACTTGGATCACCTTATCACTCTCAATATCAATGTGCAGGTTCAATATAGACCCCAAGGTTTTCTCCTAAGTAGGGGACAGTACCTTACCACCTCAAGAGAGGAATGCCGTGGGGAGAGGGGGCTGGCAGCAGGCACCCTTTATTTATGTTTTTAGAGCTTTTTCTGGGGCAGTGACCTTTGTTTTTGGTTTTGAGGTATAACTTACATAGAGTTAAATGTACACATCTTTAACATATAGAGTGAGGAACTTGTACCTATGTACACACCCAGTAACTACCATCCTGTCATCCAGATGAGGACACAGAAGACTTTTCATCACTCACGCCTCTTCCCAGTCATGGAAGTTCCTATCATGGAACTGTTTTGTTTTGTTTTGTTTTGCTTTCCCTTCTCGTTCAGTTTCAAATGAACTCTTAAAGAGCTTCTTTGTTTTTTTTAAGAAGAAATAAAATCAGACCGGGAGCATTGTATTTCCCTCCACTGCTGCCTTCTCCTCGTTTTGACAGTCAGCCATGTCGGGCAGAGCGGAACCTCCCCTTTGGTCAGTGAATCCAGTGCTTCCTGAGCTCAGGTGTCCAGGCCTCTGCACAGGAAATGAGGAGGTGGACAAAAGGGCTCATTTTCTTGAACTACCCACAGGACACCAGTTTCTTTTCAAGGGCACAAAGGACAGTGGGACAGAGGAGGCCAGTTGGCGTCTTTTCAGAGAGGCAGCACATCCCTCCATCTTCCCTCTAATGGAGCCCTCCCCTCACTATTATCTTAACAGCCCTGGATGAGGTTAGAACCAAGCTGTTCTGATTTCTGGCCCATTGGTTGGATCCAAAAGGCCAAATAAGTCCAGAGATTCCCATTGGTCATGTATCCCATGCCAAGAGGAAAACAGCATCTCGATTCATTTTACCTTGAAGGTGTGGACAGGTCTCCATAAAGCAGAAGGCATTCTGAGGGCCTGGGGCTCTCTTTATGGCCTCCCTATCTCCCAATGTCACCGCCAGCATTTCCCAATCACTGCCCCTGAAGAAGTCAATAAAATCAATTGCCCTGAAGGCTAGGTTGAAAATATTTCTTGACTCTCATTCCAGGTAATTCTTTTTAATGAAATAATTTTCCTAGTCAAATGTGGGTGAGCTGGTGGGTGGCCTGGAGGCCGGTAGCTTTTGGTGCCGGCTGACCCAGATGGGGCCCTCAGCGCGGCACTCACTCACTGCCCCAGGTCCGATCTGGTCATGTTTCACCCTGGCAGTTACACTCAAACTTTCAGGTGCTGATGACTTCAGATCACAGACTTCCTGCCATTCTGTTCTGGCTCTGTAATCTTTTATCACCGCTTTTAGCCTGATTTTCTCTCTCTCTCTCTCTCTCTGTTTTTTTCTTCTCCCTTTATGAAATGCACTTTGCTTTTAATGTTCTTTTTGGGTCCCCACTGTTCCTGACCCTGCAGACACAGAGTCCGTCCTGTCATCAGCACCGGGCCTATTCACTTTACTTTACGCATTGTTTCCTGGTTCAAAAGCTAATTACTAAGTAGTTTAAAGAAGCCCTTTGGTCACTTAGATCTTTCATCAGAAAATATAAGCTTGGGAAAGGCACGGTAATAAAGGGCCATTAGCACCCTTTGTTTGATGTTGTTTTTCCAGTCAGTAAAACAAGATTGATGAAATGTTATGTTTGGCCAAATTTTGAGTTTTCATTTGGAATTCAGTGTTGAGAGAATGAGCTGTCAGAATCAATAAGTTTTCTTTCGCTTGGGATATGGGCATGTGGTAGTAATTAGCAATATAAGGTCTTTAGTTGAGCAACCAAGCATGGATTCTGGCAGCAAACATAATGAGAAACTACAGTTGTTCTATTTCTAACGTCAGAAAGTTTCCAGATAAAATTAAATGCATTTGCAAAAGGAAAGCAGCTAAACTTTGTTGAAAGATAAAGTTCAGACTCTTAAAACAGTGTGCTGTGCTCTGAGTTTTTGTGTATGCATAAATCCATGTGCTCTGCCCCTGGACACACACGTATGTGTTCTCTGCTCCCCAGGACCCAATCAAATGAATGCCCAGAGAGAAATTAGAATGTATACATAGTTAAGGGATTTGTTTACTTGTGCGTATTTTATTCAGAAATGATTTCTCTAACAATATATTAACTTGTCAGAGAACTCAAGGTAACTCATGATCTAAAGCTACAGAGACACAAAACTTTGAAATTCAAAGATTATTTAAAGTAAAAAATTTAGGCAGAGAAGATCAGGGTTTTGTTTGTACAACACCCAAATTCAGGATATTTGAGAATATGAAGATTTCATTGGCATTTCATTTTCAGTTTTAATCAATGTGTTTGGCATAATATAAACACTTCAAGTAGCATTCTCAAAACCTCTTCATCATCAACACTATTTCAAGGGCCTACAGTGCCTTACCCAACATTTTCATCACCTCCTGCAGGATAGCCAGTCCCTGCAGTAGGTATGGGTGCTCATGCACATGTGCATGTGTGTTGGCTATTTCATATATGTTATGATGGATTGGGGCATCTAAGAATAGAGGTTTGGGTGTCCATAACCAACAGTTCAGTGAGTAGCTGAGGCAGGTAATCTCTCTGAGTTGGAGGGATTACTGGGCTCTTGGACTGATACCCTGAATCTTATTCAGAAGAGTAGGCCTCCTGCAGCCCAGCCTGTCTCCCAAGGCCATTGCCTCCTCCTCGTTCCCTTTGTGGAAGGTCGGAACTGCTTAGAGACAGGGAAGGCCAGAGGGGTGGTGAGGCTCCCATGGCCTTTGGGATCCCCAGCTCTCTCCTCCCTCTCATAGCCTCTTGCAGCCAGAGGTCTCCTCTCTGAGTGTGATTCATTCCACTCCTGGTTAGTTTATGAGAACTGACAAGATCATGGTCCAAGGTCACATGGCCAAGGGCCATGGAAAATAATCAGTCACAGAGAGGAATCCATCTGCTGTAACCCCGTTGTTAGAGGGACTCCAGCCGGAGAGCCACCCAGACCTTGTGTTTCTCATGTTGGGACTTGAATGACTCAAGTTTGAGGCAATCCTAGGCCCAGGTGTTTGGGACAGAGAGAATGGGATGGGTTTGGATTATTCTACTGATTCCTGGTAGCCAAATGCTGAGAGGACACACAAGAGGGGAATGAGTCATGAAAGACTAGAAGTAGCCAAGGTGGGAGAGGAAAGTGAGTGTAATTACCTTGGAGGAAGGTCCCCAGGATGAAGCTACTGAGCCGCCATTCTGGTTTGGGGAATAGTTGTCACAGACTAACCCATCTCTTGCTCCAATTCAAAAAAGCTGTCTGTGAAACTTAAATGCTGTGGCTTCTCTTGGAACATTTCCCTATAAAGACAGGAGTGCCACACACTTCCTGAAATGAGAATGTGGATCAGTGCAGCCTAAAGCCCTAGGACTGCCTTCTCTGGCAATAGTAATACCTACAAATATTTGCATATTTCAGAATCCTCACAGTGATCCTGTGAGAAAAGTATTACCATCATCTCCATTTGGAATGAGTGAAGAAACTGAGGAACAGGGAGGTTGAGTGACTTGCCTGACATCACCCAGCTAGTAAAGAGTAGGTCTGGGGTTTGAACCTGGACAGTCTGCTTCCCTGTGTCCTGCTGCCTCTCCATGTCATCTCTTGAGACGCCATCCTGCTCTAAACTCAGTGATCTCCTATTGTTTGTATCTTCCTCCACCTTTCCCTGTAAGTGGAGCCAGAACACCGTGCCCATGATGGAGAGGAAGAGAAAGGCATGAGCTTCACTTTGGGGTTGTCTCCTCTCTCCTCCTGCCCACCCACTACCCCTAAGGGTCCTGGCCCCAGGATTGAGGGGAAAAAGATGGAGAGCAGACGAAACCATTTCTTCCTTTATTTTTCTCATTTGGTTAGACTAGAATTCTAATTCCTTCTTGAACACTTCTAGCAATGAGAGGCTCTCAAGGACAGATAGATGAACCACATCCAAAGTGAGATTTGTGCCTTTTTTGTGGATTTCAACATTTTCTTCCCCTTTCTGGCTCCATCCTTTAAAGGTAGTTTCATGGAGAATTGTAGTGATCTGCTAAACTTGGAATTCCCCGCTGGGCAGATCTCACCTGCAGAGCCTTCTATACCTTTGCAGATGGAACCACCTGTTCCCTTTCACTCCTTAG